AACTTGCTCATTCCGGAGCCCGGCCCTGTGACATCTCGAGGATACTGCAGGTCTCCAATGGATGCGTCTCCAAAATACTTGGCAGGTAACTGCATTGTCTTTGTTTGAGGTTGGGAAAAAATGGTTCACTGTGATTAGAAAAAATTTTAAAATTCTGTAAACACATTAACCATTTGTTTCCTCAACCAAGCATAAAAACACTAGTTACCACAATATAAAGAACTGTCACAAATCACAAAATTTGGAAAGATCTTATGAGAGTTTCTTCTATTAAGTATTTAGAAAAAAAAATGGGTTTTTAGGTCTATTTGATTCTCTCTTTAGGAACTTCCATAAAACTTGAAACGAGTGTAAATAACGTCTTCACTTTAGCATGTGTTATTAGTTGGTTAAGTTTTACGTTGTGGTAGCTCAAAATTTGCGAAGTACATACGTTCAAAATAATCTACAAATTTAAATAGTTCTGGAAAGAACTAGATTGTAAAAATTAGTATAATTAGTATAATATTTTTTATCCTACACTGTCAAAAGGCAATAAAGTTATCACTACTCAAAATGTTTTAGCAATTTTTAATACGACTATTAGTGTTAAGAGACGTTGAATTACGAAGCCTAGAAGAATATTCTATCACACCTCCAGTTTATCTCACCTCAATCGTCGAAGCTACGCAAACGAAGGAAGAGACTTTTCTGAGAGCTATCTTTACGAAATTTCTAAAAACTTTTACAGAGACAGATCAAGACTTCTTGGGGACGATGTTATGTAAGCTAAATAAAAAGAAGATCTAGAGAAACACAAATAATAAAGTCATAACACATTTAAACAACCTGCACACATATTCACCATACTTAATCAAAAACTAAAACAAATTGTAGAGACAATACTTTTAATATATTTAAATATTACAACTGAAACATATTACTCCTAAATTCATAGAAAAATAACGACTGAGCACTGTTGTAAATTTTTAAAATAAAACTTCTTCAATTACGAGCACGTAGTGAACTTTCAGAGTATTTGAAAAGATCAGTAGACACCTCAAGCGTACCATATATTGCACTGTTTAAAATGTAGATATTATCTTTTATCTTCTTTAGTTAAAGACGTGAATATTGTTTTGTTTTCACTTCCCGACCGTAAGCGCAACCACTGGCGAACGGCTGCCAGTTTCATAACTCCTACAATATGAAAAAGTAGGTCGCTCGTTTCCGTCTGTCTGCCCTCCGTCGTCTGTTAGCGATTTTATTAGATAAGTAATCTCCAAAACTAGTGGGAAAGTATATGTCTATACACGTGAATTGTTGATTTACTCCTTTCATAAATTTGATGACATCTCAGAATTTTGGTATGTTAATCCTATTTAAATTGTGTAAAATAATGCATCTGTGAATTATTAATCCATATCTATTTTTAACCTCCTGTATGTAGGTTTTTGGGAAAAAAATCAAAATATTGTAATTTATGTTAGATATTATTAAATCGATTGAGCTGAAATTTTGTACTCATTTTAAGGTTGTCGTGAACTTGATAATCAGAATTAACCTGTTCGTACCTTCCACAAACTTAATGACGTCATCTTAACATTTGTTTATGTCAATCTTACTTGAAAATTATTGAGTGACATGATCGTTTATATTTATTTATTCCTTTCTGTTCAATGCCGGTCATTTCCAGGTCAGTGGTGGGTCTTAAAATATCAGTTTGCAAGCAGCTGGTAATCAAAAATAAATATGTTACAAAAAAAACGTACGATCTACAATTATTTTCACTAAACAATAATGATGTTCTACGAGTTAAACGTGAAAAATGATTGATATAAACACAAACCAGCAAGGGTAATTACTAATAAGTAAAGAAGGTGATAGTGTTAACAGTAATTTACAATAAGCCATTTCACAACTTGATATATAATAGAAAGGTGCTGTAATAACAATATTCGTGGGTGTTTTAAGTTCAATTACAAAATGCCAACACTTGAACAGAGAAGAAGGCCTTAAGACAAAACGTTAATAATACGATCAAAAATCTGCTATTCGATATACACTTCAGTCGTTTCACTGTTAAATTAAAATAATTCAGGGATTTTTAGTAGTACATTTTATTCTTTCATCCTCAAATCATACTAGATTTTTAACATGCAGTTCTAAGAATTTATTTTCCTGTTTTGCCATCTCGTCCAGAAGCTTTCCGGTTGCGTGTAGGTATATTTCTTAAAATTACAATATTGTAATTTCTCCTAGGCTCTACGGAACTGAAATATTTGGCTTCGGCACAGACAGAATTCCACTTTTTTCGGTGATATTCTATTAAATCTAGGAAGACTTCATTCCTGGAAGAGTACTCATCCAAATCTCTAATGTCGCGTAATACGTCTTCTTCAGTTTCCCAAACTGATGGAACAAAACCACGGTTTAGACCAGGCATTGCTGTAACAAAGCAAAATGTTACTGTTTTTGTTATGATAACAAAAATATGTATTTTGAATATAGGAGACACAGAAAATAAGAATTTAAACAAATGATTTTAGATCAATTATACTGTTTTTGTTCTTCCACACTAACACAATTTTTAAAGTTCGCAGCTATTAAGGCAAAAAAGTGTATATTTTCTTCTGTTTTCTGTCATCTAAGCGTGACACATTTACGGATGTTAATTATTATCAGTTACTATTAGTTACTAGAAAACTATTAACGACCACTTTGGTTAATCTACTAACATTATCTGATCCACAAAATTTGTATTTAACATTTCCGATAAAAATTAGCTCTCTATCTATCTTGCACGACGTGCGCTGATCCACAGCCTACCCTAAATAAAAATGTTGTGGATCACATGATATGTGGTTATATGCAGACAAATATAAATATTAGTTTTTTCGGTTATGATATATATTAAGGTCCACATAAATGACCTCGTTTCATGAATTAATTACTCTGTAGACTACGTGAACTGAAACTAGTTAAAACAAAGCAAGCAAAGAATTTGTTAAACAAAGTTATAAACAAATTAAAAATATCACAAAGTAGATGTTAAAAGACGAAATGTAAGAATAATTATATTAAATCAAGCTGAATTAAAAAAAAAATACAATCTAAAACATTAACCCATAGTGTTATTTGATATGTACTTACTCGCAAATGTTACACACCTGATATAAACTTTTAAAATCTATTACTCGTCTAACGATAAATTTTTGCTACTATTGATTCAGCGTTTACTAGGTAAAAACTTATCACAGAAGTGTACAGAAGAAAGCGAAATATTGAAAAACAACTTCAAGGTTTTATACAGTCTTTTACATCTCCCTTACACGCAGTATTAAGTTTCAAGTATGCCAAATAAAACTAGTTGCATATCTAATATTTCTCCCACGTTTTGTTACATTGATTAATGATACCTATTTCTCAGCATATCACTGTTTATGTAGCGGTGTAACAATAAAATGACAACATATAACACAAAAAAATTTAGACATAAAAGAATTTAAAAAATTGAAACAAAAATAATGGTGGTTTTAAATGAAACATATACAAATATACTAAACAAAAATCTAATATTTAAAATTATATTTATATAGTCCTACAGTTTAAAATATTACAAATAATTCCCCATTTTCTTCCGCATTTTCTCTTGTAAAAATTATTAGAAATCTTTACTCAGAATTGAAAAAACCACAACTTTCAAGTAGCTTGAATATACATTATATTAATGTAACACTTTTTTTAAAGCTGATGAATTTTGTATTATTATATTGAACTCCGTTTTATAACATGATGTGATCGTGATTCTGACTTAAGAGGAAAACCTGAGGAGAATTCTGGTCCAAGGACGCAACTGAGCTTCTGAAAATGAAGGTTTGGAACAACCGTATCTATTTGACAGAAGAAAAGGTTCTCCAAATCTCAATACATATATTCCCCCTTTTAATGTAACCTCGTTAAATTCCGTAAACAGATATAATCAGAAAATTTCAAACCAAAAATGATTATTATTCAGTTTTGTTCCACCTTTTTTGACGCACTTTAAAATTTTGAAAATTCTGCTGCAAATACAAGTGCTGTTTTGCATGACATAAGATTTTACTAACTTCTGAATATAATTCAATGATTTAAAGTAAAAAGTTCATCAAAAGAACAAAATAAATTCTTGATTTTAACTTGAATTTTCAGCGAGCAATAGAAAATAATTCATGTAAGTTTTAATTCATCTAAAAGTTATGTTGCTTAATTCATTCAATAAATTCATAAAATAACGAAGGCGTATTTAATGTTTTATGAGAAGTATGCACCCTATTTTTATTCCATTTTTTAAAAAGAGAATTTATTTTCTGAATATTACAAATTAGCTAATCAACGTATACTTAAATAAAGTTTTTTTAGATCCTTACCTAAATGCAATATCATTAACATAACTTTTTGTTCATTTTAATCACACTTCAAACCAGATATCAGATGGTTAAAAGTACAGATTTCTTATTTTATGTCTTTGTTCATCATAATATTTGTTTGATAGCGCATATCCTTGACCCGACGTCTAAAACATTTTTTTGCTTATACTGGTCTGTATTTGTTTGCTTCCGTGTTTTATTTCTTGTCAAGTTTAGATTTCATATAAGCGGGCGTGAAACAATGGAATATAACAAGACTGTTATGACATAAAAATTCTAATGTAGCATGAAAACAAAAAGTTGGGTCGATTTTATAGTTTAGTATACAATAAACCCGAGATTCCTTTTTTGCCTACTGCATCATATTGTGCAGACGTATTTTTACTTCGAAAAATTTTCTTTCCATAAAAGATAGTCTGAGCAGATGTATAGTAACGGGTAACCTTTCCTTATGTTCTACAACGCACTCGCCGATCTTGTAGTGTTAATATTCTACAAATTGTTATTAACATATACCGCGAACCTCAACAAAAATTGTACACTTTTAACAAAAATCAGTTAGTTTTATTTCAGGTATGTATGTGTCTAAAGCTCTTTGGCCTCTTCCCTCAGGTACTACGAGACTGGCTCCATCCGACCTCGAGCCATCGGTGGTTCGAAACCTCGAGTAGCAACTGCAGAAGTCGTCTCGAAAATTTCCTCGTACAAACGTGAGTGTCCTTCGATATTTGCCTGGGAGATCAGAGATCGACTGCTGCAAGAGGGTGTCTGTACCAACGACAACATACCGAGCGTAAGTAATGTACCCTGACAACTGTAGTAGTGGTGATGTTATGGTTGCTGACGTGGAAACGGAGACATGCATGAGAACTCGACAACCACCAAGATGTGACAAGAGATATGTTGTAATTAAAAAGTTTAATATGCGAGCTAATTATTAAGAAGGTGGCTGTATCTGGCGCAGCTCTTAAAAAATTACTTAATTACTGTACTAATGAGTTTTGTATAATGTCATTTAATAATGCTACTTACCATGTCACCATAAAGTTGCTTCAAACAAACTAACACTAATTATTTTCGTTTGCAAATATGGTTTTCCACTTGCGGTAGACCTAATAAATAAATGAATTTAAGCTCTTTCGAAGTAGGTAACGCCTTAATTAAGCTGAATAATTATTACGAACATCTTGGCAGAAACACATCTAGCAACATTTAAAAATTGTTGAACAACTTAATAACATAAGTATACCAGTGTGAGTTGCGAACATAATTTGAGTAAGATTTATGAGCTACAATAACTTTTGTAAATGTAGATGTTATGTGCCAACTCGTCGCCGGATACTGGGCATTTTAACCTCTTGACCGACTCTCTACTTTTAATAGGTCTTCCGTTTCCGTCTGTTTGTCCGTCCGTCTGTCTGTCTGTCCGTCTGTCTGATGGTCTGTCCGTCTGTCTGCCGTCCCGGATTTTTATTACAGATAACCTCCGGAAGTACTGGACCGATTGTTGTCAAATTTTGTATTTATATTAGGAATATCATGTAGATGGTAAAACGCTAACCACAATTGGTCTAATCATCCCCACCAATAATGTGATGACGTAATTTCAAAATTGTACATAGTAAATGGGTTTTAAATTGTATAAAATAACATAGTCCTGCACATGTAGTTTATGACGGCGCGTTTAGTTTTTATCCTAAATATCCAGATTTGTGAAAAAAAAATCAAAACATTTTGCAATTTAATTTTGAATCTGTGAAACCGAATGCTTTGAAATCTTGCAGATGTTTTAACGTTATGATAAGCATGATACATTTTTAATCAAAACATATTTGCTTATCCCCTCCAAAAAATTGATGACGTCAGCTCAAAATTTTACCAAATAAATCCCATTTAAATTGTCCAAAATATGATGAGTCTGTACTTGTGATTTATCATTCCATTCATGTTTTTTGGATTTGCTTATACAAGGTGATTAAAAAAAAATGAATGGGTGAATTTGTTTTGTATTGATTTAATCAGGAACTGCAAAACCGAATGCATTTGCTTATCCCCCCTAAAAAATTGATGACGTCGCCTTAAAATATTGTCGAATAAAATCTTAAATGTGCAAAATTTTATGAGTCTATACTTGTGATTTAGCACTGAAGCATGTCAGGCTATACATTTGAAGATGATGCATCAATTTAGCAAAATTTTTGAGATGAGGTCGTCATAGTTTAAACGTAGATGAGCAGAAAATTTCGGTTAGATGTAGTTGTCATAATGTTCATACTAAAATGAGGAAACGATAAAACATAGAGAATGGAAGACAATTTAAAAAGGAAGTTAGCGTTTTACCATCGATATTATATACGGTGCAGTAGCTTAGAAAATGCCTTGTTTAATAAAATCACACAGAAACGACAGACAGACAACAAACGACAGATGACAGACAGACGGAAACAGGTGCTTTTTCATATTCTAAGCATTGAAAAAACATGAAATTGCGTATTCGTCAAATGAACCCTATCAAAATACATCCCCAGTTTATGCTTGGGGTGTAAGAATAAATATAAAATTCTTCCCTATTTCTCTTTTTACACATTTTTCACACGATTGACTAATTATGATTTTCAGAAGTCTGTTGTCGATTTTGCATCTCGATCGAAGAAAAATGTAAATAGTGTTTTGATTATCCATTTCTTTGTAAAATTATTATCTGCTTGACGATAAATCTATTATTAGTGAAAATAGGTTCAAAGTATTTTGCACCGTGGTGTTTACAGCGATGATTTATTCTCCCGAGGAGTCCTCCTTGAAAGTGTTTACATAAATTGGAAGTTGGAAAGTGTGACGGGAGCTCCATATCGATCACCCCAAAAGGGGGAACAGTACCGGTTAAACGGAAGCATAAGCTTGCGATAACAGCATCAGGTTTAATCAGTTTGTAATCATCGGTTTAACCTGCGTGACGAGCCTCTTATATAACTTCACTCTTCCGCACATTAGACAGCCGCCCCTCTGCCAACCCCCTACACCCCGACGTAATAAAGGAGCAGCTCTTTAAAATGGGAAACTATGAAAGAATATTGCAGGCTCTGATTATGCGTCATTTTTCATCGCGCTTTCACAGAGGGCTCCGAGTTAACGGACTTTTATATCAAATTTTAAGGAAAATTTAATCAAACGAAAGTTTAGCTCCAACAGTTTAGTAATTATTTTTTCTCGACGACTTGGGAAATTTCGTGATTTTTTTCTTTCTGTTTCTGTTTCGAGAACCAATATTACTTTATTGTTCTTTGAGAAGAGTGGATTTTAACGAGACCTGACCTCACTCTCCCTCTTTCGAAGGATGAGTAAATCTTCTGAGTACCGTTTATTGGATGCATGCAAATTTCCATGGCAACGTCCCTCATCTCCCATTGCTTGCGATGTCTCTATTCCTCAAAACAAAAACGTTATGGATTTTTCTGTTAAAGTGCGCATGGTCTTTATTTCTAATATTATTTGGTATCATCATATCCATCTCCGCTAAAGACATTCCAGTTGAAAATCTGTTTTAATTAAAAGCTACAACTTAAGACCGTAAATTTCCAACTTTATACGCTTTCTTAAAGACACAAATTATGAATAAAATGTTTTTTTCATTATTGTAATAATTCTTCAATGTCGTAAGTACATCATCATCGTTTAGTTCACATACACTACTTCACTTATTAGAAGACATTTTGAGCAATCAGTGTCTGCTCTGGGACTAGTTTAGTTAAAATTTTTGCTGTTGAGAGAATAATAACATGTTTAAATTACGTCACACAAATACGTGTATATTTAACAAAAAGTGGGAGATTGACGGTTTTATAAAATACAAAATAATTTGAATTCAGAAACTACAAGTGAAGGACTGTGTTTTTTTATAAAATTTAAATAACATTTAATATTGCAAATTTTGAGGATAACGTCATCGCGTTGGTGGTGGAGATGATCAAGCAAATTTTGGTCAGCGTTTTATTACCTGTACGATATTCCTAATATACGTACAAAATTTGACAACAATCGGTCCAATAGTTTAGAAAACTGATAATACAAATGAACACAGACGCGGACAGACGCAGACGGCAAACAGACAGACGGAAATGAGAGACGTATTCTACGGGTCATGAAACATCAGAACAACATAAAAGTTACTTTAATGAAATTAAAATAAAAAATATTTTTTCAGCAAACTGAAATATAGAAACAAAATATTTTATTTTAGATAAAAATCTACCCACACATTTCAACTGTGCAGCACAATAAATACTACTAGCTTCAATACGTATGTTTCAGTAAAAACTAAAACTAATTATTTAACATTTGCACACATTTTTTTCAGACAATTTTAAAAAATAAAAGCATATTGTTAAAACACTATGATTGTACTGTATTACAAAAGCGTAGGTAAGGTACTTACTTTTAAAGAGAAAAGTTATGTAAAGAACTATGCAATATTTGGGATAAATAGCAAAATTTTTTAGTCTAACTGAAATTAATAGAAACTAGCATGTTAAAAATGTCAGGTGCAGGAACATTTACTTTTAAAATAAAGTTTACAAATTATTAATTTGATACTATGTACCTACTTAACGTTATAATTAAACAAAAAACGTGACATTCTGACTTTCTTAAAACACTTTCCTAAGTTAATGGGAAATAAAACATGTGTCTACAAAAATAACTATTTGGAAAAAAATTGTAAGACTTCTTTATGCTAAGACAAAACTAGAGGATAATCATGTCTTGGACTAAATTTTTTAGTATATGCAATGTCCTGTTGTACTTAAAAATCTGATCAAAATGGATTAAAATAGACAGAAAAATAGTTGTGCAATATAGATAATTATATTGATCAATAAAAACTTGTACACGGTCGATAAATTTGTCAAACCCACAACGATTTTTTTCTTATATTTTTTCAAATGGAAGTGAAAATATTACTAATAAAAATCCCAATATAACACATCCGTAATAATAATTTCCCAAATTGAACGATCATGTAGTCCTTACCACTCTACCTCAACACGCTAAAATCCTCTTACCCGCCGTCGTGAAGCATCACTTTTCGTTTTAATTTCACCATGGTGGAATATAATTAAACCCCGCGTTATCATGAAGGTTTTACCGAATGCTACGTTTCAGAAAATGTTTGAGGGGTAACGTTGGGGGAATGCTGTTTCAGTACCGTTTTAAAGTTGATTCCTCTCGCTTGACTGGTCGGGAGATGCTCCAATCAATGCGGTCCGTCGTTCGCCCCCGCCTTGCCTATCTGTAGCGGAGATATGCGGCGGTGGCGGTGGCGGCGGCGGCTCGTCAAATAACTTTATCTGTCCATTAATAGCGTTGGAACCCAGCTGCCCGCCAAAGAGAAAACTTTTGCCAGACTTAAAAATGCTTTTAAAATTAATGGCATCCCTCAAATCGTACATTTTTTTAAATTTATTGTGGCAACGGTTCGAATGTGAAAGTTACAGTGTTTTTGTGAATTCGCTTTCGGGTTTCTTTTAACAAATGACAAATTGTTGTTGCATTTTATTCGTTTTAACGTGACGGTTATGAATGAGGGTTTGGATAGATACTCCTGAAAAATGGAAATGTTTGCATGTTTGGCTAGCACATGCTCGTTAACTTAAATTTATTTTAGATGGACTTTTTTACGTTGCTAAAAATTTGGATTTAGATACGGATTTTTTTTGCATTTGTAACCAATGTTCGTTCAATTTGCCACATTTTACAAGTACATAATATAATCACTAATTTCCATAAACACTATTAGAT